TGAACCGGCTCGCAGCGCCGGGGCATCGCGCAGAGCCCCGGGCGTCCCGCAGCTCGGCGGGGCTCGGGACCGGGCAAAGTAATCCCGTCTGCGCTAAACTCCAGGAGAGCCGCTCCCGGAGCCCGGCTTTGCCTCTCGTCCCGGCTACCCGGGACGTTTTTCCCCAGGAAGGCAGGAAAAGCTGCCCAGAAGAAGCTGCGCCCAACCGAAGATGTTAGAGGAGGCGAAGGGGGGTGGCTTTTTGCCCGCTGCGTGCCTCCATGCCTGTCATTCCCTTGTCTTAATCCTTTAGGAAGGAGTCGCCAGGCAGACAGAGCGTTCCTGGAGGGGCGATGCTGCCGAGCCCTGCCCCGGGCAGAAGGAAGCCGGGAGATGCGTGGCCCGGGGCGGGCTGCGGGAGAGAATGAGGAGCTGCCTCCGCCTGCGCCTTTCCGAGAGGGAAAAAGCATGGTAAGAGCTGGACCCGATCCCTGGAGCGCAGCCCCGCTGAGCAGGAGGTGGGATTATTCCGGAGTAGTTATGGAGAGCTATAACCTGGCAGTGGAGTGTTAAAGCGACTTGTCCCTGCTGGAAGAGGAACCCGCTGAGGGCACCGCCGGCGTTGTGGCCGAGGGAAGGTCAGTCACGTCCTTCTCCTCCTCTCACCCTTCTTTCTGCATCCAGCGAACGGCAGTAGAAAGAACTGGTAGTCGGCTCTTGCCAGCGTTGGGAAAATACCGTGCCTTTTGCCTGGGATGATTTGCCCTGATGTGCCACTTCCACGGGATGTACAAAGTGCGACTGGAACTGATCTGGCCAACAAAGTTTGCAGAGTGATCAGCAGGGGCCGTGGGATGGAGGGAGCTGGGCACGCACCAGCAGGGTCCGTCACACACGGTCTGACAGCACAGACCTGCTGCTCCCTTGAAAACTAACTCCTTGATGGTCCAACTCTTACTTTTCCCCTGCCAATTTGCACTTTCAGGGAAACCCCCCACCCCCCCACCCCATGCAATGCAGTGTTCCTGTGCTGGTTTTGTATATAAAATTTGCTATGCAATTACAAAACTAAAAGAGGAGGAGAGACGGCCCTGCATCCCAGAGCAAACAGAGAATCAGAGGTGAAAGGTAGGAGCCAGCATTTCTTGTTTAAATGAAACTAAATAACCTGAGCTACTTCTTACTGAAAATCTTTAAAACACACCTACTGTATGTTTATGTGTTTTGTCTTGGAAAGGTAAAAGAGTTTGAAACAATGTGAAGATTTCCTTTCTGACACTGCCAAGAAACAGAGAACTGATGCATTTTGTAACAGGAACGTACTGAGGAGAAAGGATGGAGTGTTTCATCAGCGAGACATTTAGGGAACTAGTGAAAAGGCACTTTGTATAATACGCTTCAGTAAATATGAAGGGCTAGTGCAATGGACACTGGAAACACTCGATCAATAGTCTATTTAAGTGGGAATATATGCAAGCATGGAAAAGTGATTGCTTTCCTGTCTATGGGGTGTGTTTGGAGAGGACAGCAGCAGAACATTTGCAGGTGAGCTGTCTGAGTTAAGCTACTTCATGCTGGGGTGGTGCAGTGTGTTTCTGAAGGGATTGCTAAAAAACCCAGTCTGTAGGGTGGACTGTGTTTATGCATTTTCAGTTCCTGCTCGCAGAGCTTTCAGGATGTTTTTCAGGATAATTCAGATTGGGTGAGGTCCATCTGGGGGTGAAGGGACTGTAAGAAAGGACCTTTGGTCTGTTTGGTGATGAGTAATTAATGGACGTCTGATGTCTTTGATCTCTGCAAGGCGAGGGGCTGATGTCGTCATGAAAATCATGATATGATTTTCCCTCAGGAGAAACTATGACTTGGAACGACACCAGTATGGACGGGGAAGGGTTGCTGGCGGAAAGGGACTCCTCTTCCTTTCGGATCCTCACAGGCTGCTTCCTCTCGCTACTGATCCTCTCCACGCTGCTGGGAAACACGCTGGTCTGTGCAGCTGTCATTAGGTTTCGCCACCTCAGGTCCAAGGTGACCAACTTCTTTGTCATCTCCTTGGCTGTGTCAGATCTCTTAGTGGCAGTTTTGGTCATGCCTTGGAAAGCTGTGGCTGAGATTGCCGGTTTCTGGCCTTTTGGTTCATTTTGTAACATCTGGGTAGCCTTTGATATTATGTGCTCAACAGCCTCCATCTTAAATCTCTGTGTCATTAGTGTGGACAGATACTGGGCCATCTCCAGCCCATTTAGGTATGAGAGGAAAATGACCCCCAAGGCAGCCTTCATCATGATCAGCGTGGCGTGGACTTTGTCCGTGTTGATTTCCTTCATCCCCGTGCAGCTGAACTGGCACAAGGCTACAACCACAAGCTTTTTGGACTTAAATGCCAGCTTACAAGGTGTAAGCATGGACAACTGTGATTCTAGCCTAAACAGGATGTATGCCATCTCCTCTTCTCTAATTAGTTTCTATATACCTGTGGCCATCATGATAGTGACTTACACAAGGATATACCGGATTGCTCAGAAGCAAATACGACGCATCTCAGCTCTGGAGAGAGCAGCAGTGCACGCAAAGAACTGCCAGAACACGAGCGGCAACAGGAGCAGTATGGACTGCCAGCAGCCAGAGAGCAACTTCAAAATGTCCTTCAAGAGGGAAACAAAGGTTTTAAAGACTCTGTCAGTGATCATGGGGGTGTTTGTGTGCTGCTGGTTGCCATTTTTTGTATTGAACTGCATGATTCCCTTCTGCGAGCCTACCCAGACATCCAAGGGAGCAGAGGCTTTCTGCATTAATTCCACCACCTTCGATGTTTTTATATGGTTTGGATGGGCAAATTCTTCCCTCAACCCCATCATTTATGCCTTTAATGCTGACTTCCGCAAGGCATTTTCGACCCTGCTGGGCTGCTACAGGCTCTGCCCAATGTCTGGCAATGCCATAGAGACTGTGAGCATTAACAACAATGGGGCAGTAGTTTTTTCAAGCCAACACGAGCCCAAAGGGTCCAGCCCCAAGGAGTCTAATCTGGTTTATCTGATTCCACATTCAATTATCTGTCCAGAAGAAGAACCTCTCAAAAAGGAAGAAGAGGGTGAACTATCTAAGACCTTGGAGAAAATGTCTCCAGCACTGTCGGGTATCTTGGATTACGAAGCTGATGTTTCTTTGGAAAAGATCAATCCCATTACACAAAATGGGCAGCATAAAACCTGAACAGTAAGGTTTACTAAGCAAGACCCAACGGTGTATATTGTAATAATCTTTTGGGGAAAAATACAAGATTTTTTTGGTAAGAAACTAAGCTCTAGGGACAAAAATACACATTTACACCAAGCCCAGAATTAATTTTCCTGGCATTCAAAGCAAATTTAACATTTTAAACAATAAACACAAAAAGATACTGGAAATTGGTTTTAAAAAAAGATGTTAAACTGTACTGTTCATACTGAGGAAAATACACAAATTTAGATACAGTGCAGTGACAAAGAAAATATTGCTTCTCTACACAGAGAAACCAATTTTCAGCTTAAAGTGAGGCAAAAGATAAATGTTGAGTATTTAAAGATTAATGTTTACTAGAAGTAAAAAGATTGCTGTGTCTTGTGATAGTGGGTGTTAACAGGTCCTAATTAAAGACTGAGAGATTGTAAAGGTAGGTAGATGCCTTCTTAAAATTATTTCTGAAAAATAATTGAGCCTTATAATGAGAATGGTTATTTTTAAAGCTTTGGGAGGTAATATGTTGATACTGGTTTTATTTATTTATTGTTTTAAATTGATATTTTTCATATGTTATAACAGATCTAGCTTTATTTATGTTATTTAAGATGTCTAAATAATGGGATATTTTTGGAGTGTCATAACTGCATTTTGACCAGTCAACCAGTCAGCACTTTATTACAAACTCGGATAGTCTGGAGAGCTGGTGAGGGGAATAGAGGAATGTTAAGAAGCTCAGCAAGAAATGAAGGAATCAACTAAACCGATGCTGTGTGGAGTTCGTTTGCTTGTGGGCTTTTTTTATTTTTAAGTGGGATTTCTTTCAAAAGATAGGACCAGCGTTGACTGAGTTGTGAATTCTCTTCCCTTATAAAAATAAAAGAAATTGCTGCTATTTATTTTTAAAAAGTTTCATGTTACAAAGACTTTGCTAGAGTGTCAAGTTTGTGGATCTGTAAATACCTTAAATATGACTACAACCTTAAGAAGAATCCAATTTGGGAAGGAGAGCGTCTTAGGTAACAATTCTTAGTATATAATGTTTTGTATTTATGTAAGATAAACAGCTTTCTCAGACTTTTCTTATTTCAAGTCTTGGATATCTTTTCTGAACAAACACAATGGGTTATAATGGTAGTAAAGATGCCAAACGTCGTTATCACTGGTGTTACTGCAGGACCACCCGGGTCATTCTGTCTGTCTGCTGCTCTATCACAGTCAGAACTAAAACGTGAGGTACCTGGTGCTTTACTTTGGGAACCGGGAGGACATTACATTTTAGTAATTGCCGTGTCAATAGTCCATTCAATAAGGAATAGTGCCTCATTACCATTTTGGATTAAGACATTTCGAAATATGGATGGAACTGCAGCCCCCACCTCAAAATCCTCCTGTGAACTCCAAAAAAGTTTGCCAATGTTTAATTAAAAAACCCTGCTACTTCTCCATTGTCCTTCTCTGCTGCTTCCCTTTGTAATGCCAAAAGCAATCGGTGAGCATTAGCAACAGGAACATTGGGTGTTAATAGTCAGCAGCGTTCAAAGAAATCGATTTCTTTTCTGAATGAGAGAAAATACCCCTTGGAGCAACTTTTTCATAACATATATCAAAAAAATGTGTTGTCAGGAAAAGAGAACTGAGAGGAAAAAAAATTTAACAAACTATATACATCCTGCATCAGGTCTGTGTATTTATGTATTGTGAATGTTTTCATAATTTTATTGCCTGTATGCTGCTTTCATACATATAATAAAATTATTTTGTGAACAGAAGGTCAAATAAAACAATCTACATTGCATTTATTAAATTCATGCTGTTTTTTGGCAGTTGTATTGATCATGTTAAAGGGAAGGACAGTTCATTTTTTCCCCATTTGCCTTTAATTGGCATCACATCCATAAGGCCAATGGGAATTTCTATTAGAAGCAGGGGAAACCTCCCTACTGGAGACCTCTGAGCCCTTGCTGTAAACTAGGATTTGAAAGCAGTAAAAGAAGCTTGGAAACAACCACTCACTTTAGATGTGTAAAGCTCGACCTGCTGGTGACTCTTATTTCAAAGGTATTTTTTGCCTTGGTGTAACAGCATAATGAACTTGGTTTATAGAATGCTTTTATTATTGGCTTTTTCCTTTCTCCCCCCCCCCTTTTTTTCCCCCAAGCTGTGGAGTCTTTCTCAAAGCCTGATACAACCCCACTACTAGTTTCTGTTCTTTGGAGCAAAATGAATAATTTCACAAGTGATGTGATGGTGGGTGCAGGAGGTGTCCTCCTGTTCCTGGCAGCCTTGTACTTTTTTTTTTGCCTCTGTCAGCAGATTCATTTTGAATTGAAGAAACAAACCTATGTTGTCACTTCTGCCTTGAGCATTTACAGCAGAACCCATCCAGCATCTGGGACTGGAGCTGGTGCAGGAGCTGCTGGGATGTCCAGCTCCCCCTCCCTGGGTGCTCCTGGGGGTCAATGAAGCAACAGGTCTGAGGCAGACAGGGCATCATGGCTGCCTCCAACCTGTCTTAGCTCCTTCAGTAAAATTCCCCTGCATGTTGTAATGCCAGATTTTTTTTTTTCTGGGTACCTTTGAGGAATTACTTTACTTCTTAAAAAGTACATAGGCCAAAAATAAAGTTCTGTGTTTCTTACTTATTCTCAAATCTCCCAGCAGTCTGATACAATAGCAAAATACAGAGTATGATTTAAGGGTGTCATGTAAAGCAAGAGGCTGTTTTTGCATTAGTTTGTAGGGAGTGATTTGTATTCTGAAACAAATAGTTGCTCTGCTGCAACCAGGAGCCATCCCAGGACCTCCCTCCTTGCAGATGGAACTGAGTTTCAGGGGGCTCCGTGAAGGTTGGTGAAGTGCTGCTGCTGTTGCTGCTGGAGTGATGGGCACCCTGTGAGAAGCAGGGCAGGGGAGGCACTTGGATGAGTTTAGTTTATTGTTTTCTCTCTCATTCTGTGTAAACTAATTTTGGCTTCTGACTCCTTTTCCTTATATACCTTTCAAAACACCACGAATTGGCCTTGATCTTCATGTACCAATGTACCTCATTTACCCCTTTTTTCCAGCCTTCCCAGTGGGTTTCTCTACCTGTCCTCTCTGCTTTTCCTTCCACCACCGCCAGAGCCTTTCTGTTTGTTTGGCTTTTCTTTGCCACAGTAATGCTTTGCTTGGAAGAAAGTCCAAATCAAAATCCTTCCCCCCAGCACGGCCGAGAGTCCCCTTCCCACAGCCTGCACTCAGAAATGCCTCTTACCTGTTGCAGAGCCCGGAGAGCAGTGTCAGGAGTGACTAGAAGGAACAACAGCATGTACCTGCCAACTGCTGCTCTATTTATGTACTCAGTTAATTGCTCAGAAGCTGTATTACCTGCTCTGTGCCTGCTCCCCAGCTGCTCAAAACCAGTGGTCTGCCCTTTTCTCCCTGCCGTGTTGCCCCCAGCAGTATTTTCCTCTGCAGAGTGAACCTTGCCATGTCCCTTTCTGCAGATAACCTGGGCAACCTTTTTTCCTGCATTGCTTCCTCGTGACTGAAGGTATTTTTCTGTTTGTGGATGGAAGAGGTTAATAATTCACCTGATGGCCTTGATGAAGGAGCTGTTTGCAACGAATGAACTGTAATCACTAGATTAAATCTGAATACATTTCTCCCTTCCCTGTCAAGCATTTTATGCTGATTTGATTTTCTAACGTGACAAAGCATGCAAAAGATAGAGGATGAAGGATGCCTTTGCTGAGGTATAGTTTTAATGACAGTTATTGAGAGCCAGTCATGGATTTTTTTCAAATCAATAGTTTTCAGAAGCACCCAAATCTGATTGAAATCTCCAAAGCCTGCTATGCTAAGTATCTCGAAAGGCAGATTATGCCATTAATTATTTTGGTTTTTAATATAGTGATGGCAAACACACCGAACTCCTGCACACGAGTGAAGCAAAGACATGGCTGCGGGATAAAAGCAAATAGAATATAAAGTTATCAATCCTGACATCCAGGAAAAAAACCCATCGGTGAAGGTCTGGATTCCCACCCCCTTGACAGGGATGTAAGGCAGGGAAACCACACCAAAACTCTGCCCAGGGTGAGCAAGGAGCCAGAGCAGGGTCTCAGTGCTGGGGTCCGCTCTGCAGTGCCCATCCATTCCCATTCCTAAACCAACACAATAAAAAACCCACTTTACACACCATGGACTGCAATCAATAGAACATTCAATATTTCCATCACTTCCTTTTTCAGAATGACTGGTGATTCCTCTCCACCTCTATTTGCTGGCTGGGCTCAAAATTAAATGTAGGAAAGAGTCACCAGTAAAAGCCTCTGAGGTTTATAGTGTAGCCAGAGGAATGCATAGGATGGCTGGGGAGAAAATGTACTTTTGTTTAAAATGGAAGAGCTTTGGTGCTATTTTATTTTATATTGTGATTTTATTTTACCACTTTTCTTTGCTCAGAAAAGACAGAAAATCATTCCTGAATGTAACTTTCCTTTGTGCCTTATGTAATATTTTAAAACTATGAGCACCTGTAGATAACGAAGGCCAGCTCACTTGTTAAGGTCTGCCCAAAGTGCTCCAGAAATGATGCCCAGGGAATATCGTGGAGAAACCTGGAGCCACTGAACTGAGGGGGAGGGTAACATTAGGAAGGAGGACCTTCTTCTCTGAGAAGCTGTTTTTGACCTCTGAAGTGAGGATTTCCCTTCCTTGGGCTGAATGTCTCAGTTTACTATGAGGGAAGTCCCTTATATTGCAACCTCATGTAATGTTTCTTCTTTTTTTAGAGGCAAGTCGATGTTTAGTTGTATCCATAACTCAAGTGCACTAAACAGCCTGTAATTGTTTCCATAGTTAAATTAATTAAAATGCCTGTTATGTTTTCACTCCTTAAGGAAAATAAAAGAACAAGATGTAATGCTGCAGAGTAGTTTCTCAGTCTCAAAGTTCCCTCTCAGGTACCTGTGAGCTACAGTCTGCACTGAGGTGTGGGCACAGCTTGGTTTGTCACCGTATATACAGTGCATGGAAAAACTGTACAGGAAAAAGATACAAATTAATAGGTCTCATGGTCACCACAGACAGATCTGGGAATATTCACAGTGCTCAGACTGACTTACTGTGGTTTCCGTACCTGTTGTTCAAGTCAGCATCCAGTGATGAATGCACGATCTTTTACTTGGCATGGCAGGGAGGCCACAGTTCCTGTTTGTTCCTGCAGGCACAGGGTGTAATGCCGTTTCACAGTTTAATTCCAGCTTGTTTCAATCTATCACATCTGTCTCAGTGGGAAGCTGAGATGGGAGGAACATCCACGAGGAGGTTTAAATGTTGCTTTCATGGAGTCGTTATCCTTTGTCAATCCTGGAGGAGCCATCGCTCCTGTTATCACAGAGATCCTGGGCATGTGAGATCTGGAGATCCTGTGTTTGGTTTGCTGTGTAATACCCCCTCACTCATCTCCATCACAGCCATCAGGTTGGGCCCCTTACTTTTTACATGGGTAAATACTGATGGGACAAGGGGAACAGTTTTAAACTAAAAGAGAAGAGATTTATGTTAGATGTTAGGAAGAAGTTCTTTCCTCAAAGGGTGGTGAGGCCCTGGAACAGGTTGCCCAGAGAAGTTGTGGCTGCCCCATTCCTGAAAGTGTTCAAGGCCAGCTTGGATGGAGCTCTGAGCAACCTGCTCGGGTGGAAGGTGTCCCTGCCCACAGCAGGGGGATGGAATGAGATGATCTTTAAGGTACTTTCCAACTCAAGCCATTCTGTGATTCTGTGACGTACTGGCATCCCAAACAGCTTCTGCTTCCTCTGTTCCTTACTAAAATCATCCTCTCCCATAAAAAAGGAAAAAAGAGTTGCCTATGGCAGTCCCTCAACACCGAATTTCTGGGGACAAGGTCAGCTAATCCTGAATGCTCCATTTTGAGTAGACATTCCACCCACATAGCTGGTACATGATGACTGACAGTGTGGGTGCTACCAAAGCAACTGCTCTGTGGTGCCTCCTGTCAGTGGAGTTCCAGGGACGACAACCCTGAAATCATTTCTGTGAGCTTCTGCTGAATTAACAAGGCTGCCTTGGTGCTGCTTGTGTGGGCAAAGATATTTGAAAAAACATGGTGATTTCAGGAGATTAATGTTACTGATCCAACCCCATGGACTCTACAGCTGGACGTGGAGCCCTTGGGATGTCCAACAAGTGCTGCCTCACTCAGCACAGTAACCTGATGGAGGGGTCACCCACAGCCCCAGTGCCCCAAAGGCTGCCCAAACTCCCATCCTGTTATTTCTCTGTCTGCAGCTCAGGAGCTACGTGCTGGAATTTCCATGGAAGCCTTGATTTTATTCATTCTGCAGCCAAAATTAGGCCAGCAGTGCTGCCAAGAGGCACACTTTTTTGGTTTGATACATGGAGAATGCATTTTTAATGCTCTAAGTGCTGTTCTCTGCCACTGGACTCCCATGTGATGCAGAGCTGCAGTCAGAGCCCTGCAGTAAAACAACATTTGCTTCCAAGCAGGATGGAGAAAAATACAAGAAATAATATTTTTTCATTAAAACTGGAAAATATTACTTTTAGCTGGCTGGCTCCTGACCCATCTCAAATCTCAGCTGCCAAGTAGTAATTCTGTCTTGTGAGGCTCGAGTCAGAGCAAGAACAATTTTCTAATCAAAACCAATGCTTACCACTGCAGGGAAATTTGTGTGTCTAGACATGGGCACCAACCTTCAGTTAACATTGAGAAACACTATTTTTTTTTCTTTCATTCTGGTCATGCTGTGAACTACTCCCTAATTGTAG